CGTCAACCTCCCCACACCCGTCCCCCCCCCCGCTTGTGCGCTCGACCCCACCGGGGCTGCCGGGTCCGCCCGGGGCCCCTGCCCGCCGGCCCCCCCCACGCCCCCCTTCCTGAGGCGGCTGCCCCCCCTGCCATGCAGGTGCAGTGCGAGCCGCACCGCATGGTGGTGACCGTCCCCAGGGACCTCTTTGGGGTGGGGAAGCTGGTGGACCCCACGGAGCTGGCCTTGGGGGCTGCTGCCTGCCCCCCCGTGTCCCCGGATACCAGGGCAGGCGTGGTGGTCTTTGAGGCAGGCCTCCATGAGTGCGGCAGCGTGGTGCAGGTACGTTCGTCGGCGGGGCTCTGGGAGGAGGAAGATGGGAAGACTTTGGGGCAGCGTGCGGAGGAGACCCCGGCAGGCAGGTTGGGGGCTGGAAATCTTCCTTCTTCTGCTTGGGAAGGCCCCTTACCCAAATTGCAGCCAAGCCCACACAGCTTCCTCGTCCCCGTTTGCAGAGAGCTGGCTGTGGTGGGTGCACGTCACGCTTACCCCAGAGCAAGACCTACCCCGTGTTCCCTTGTTCCAGATGACCCCCGACTTGCTGATCTATCAAACCAACCTCTTCTACAGGCCTTTGGTTGCCAACCACCCGGTTATCGTCCGAAGCCACGGGGCCACCATACGCCTTGAATGCCGCTATCCCAGGTGACGATGGGGCCGAGGGGGGCACGTGCTGCTTCCCCCTCTGCTAGGGCGAGTGGGCCTGGAAGGGCCGGGGGGGCCCCTCTGCGCACTGGGGTCTCCCTCCTTGCTCTTGACGGTGACGGCTGGAGCTGCTGCAGAGAAGCCAGCTCAAAGTCTTGGCGAAGGAGGACGGCAGGCAGGCATCCCACAGGGAGTGCTCTTGCTACCATAAAGGTCTTGAGGGGAGGCCAGACGACAGGGCTTCTTACTAACAAATTAAGGGGGCCAGTCTCTGCCCCAAGGAGCATGCATGTTAAAAATGGGCTGTGCCTCGGTTGGAATGTGATGCCAACCCATAACGAGTTTGCCCTGGATTTGTCCTGTGGCATAAACTCAGTTCCCACATTGCACTGAACCAGCGTCAAGCCAACCGTGCTTTAGCCGCATAGCTTTTGTGAATCCAGCCAGGGTAGTTAGACTCTGGTTCCCCGAGAGCTCAGAAACCTGGCTGAGTACCGAGGATTCAGTTCACCAGGGGACGTGTCCCCTACAGGCTGACACCCTCCACGGGGGCTGCTACGCACCTCACAGCTGCACTGGCACGAGTTCCAACCTCGGCTACGGAGGCAAGAGGGGAAATGCAGACGGACGCAGCAAGTGGGGAGGGGAGAAACGGAAGGAATAGGCCCGCACTGGGGGGGTGCCCTCTGCACATGGGCTGGGACCCCCACATTATACTACACCCTAAGGACGCTTGGTTGTGGCTTTGTGCCTCACGTGAATTCAGCCTCGTGGTTTGCAGAGTCAAACCAGGATTGTTCAGCAAACCAGGGTTATATGAAGCGCTGGGATGCTGCGAGGTGTGAACTCAGCGTGAATCGAGAAACAGGAGGGGAGAGAAACTGGACCTTCCCCAGCCTGGCGCCTTTCCGCACACATCAGTTGGTTTGCGCAGCCGTGGGCGAGCCCCCACTTTCTCGTTCCCGTCCCTTCTTCCAGGAGGGACAACGTGACGAGCAAACCTGTCCAACCAACCTGGCTCCCCTTTGGGTCTACGGCGCTGCAGGAGGCAAAGCTGGGGTTCTCCTTGCGGCTGATGAACGGTGAGGAAGCCTGAAGCTGCTGGGCTGGGGTGAGGGGCAGAGAGCTCTGTCCAGCCGAGCGGACGGGCAGGAGGCGGCGAGAAGCCCCATGCCCGCCAGGCTGCTGGTCCTCTGGGTGGAGTCGGGCTCCGAAGGTGGGCCTGGCTGTGAATCCTGCCTCCTCCTCTTCCTCCTCCCGCAGAACGGGTTCCCCCACCTCAGCCGCAGGGTCCCTTTCCCCAGGCTCCTTCTTCCAGCAGGGGCCGAGGGTGGGGGAGCCCCCCTGCCCATCTTGCACGTTTCAGACTGAGATCCACGAAGATGAGGATCCTGGCAGTCTCCCCACTAGAGCGGTGTTTCTCAACCTCGGCAACTTTAAGGTGTGTGGACTTCAACTCCCAGGATTCCCCATGCTGGCTGGGGGATCCCGGGAGTTGAAGTCCACA